TTTGATAGTATTTTTGAATACTATGCGTCTCTATACATAATTTAAATCACTTTTCCTGTTAAGTTTGTGTACTTACATACATTAAAAATACGATTTTTCAAGTGTACGAATATTTATTTCTCCCCACTGTATATACAGGTATTTATATACCTATACACACACATAGCATGGAAATGTGTTATTTCATCTGAGAAAACATACTTATAGGATTATTCAAAAAAAAAAAAAACTCAAATATTTAAAATCGAAACGAAAAAGTATATTAATAGTATATTAATTATTATGAGATTCACTGAAGAACAGAACTTCCTACCACAAGTTCAGCAAATTTGTTGCAGTAGGCAACTTGGTTACTAAAAGGCAAGAAATTGCTTGATAAAAAGTAAAAACTACATTATTCTCTGTAATTCTAGAATATTGCTGCTAAATCAGTAATCATGGTGAAGCGAGGTAGTTAAAAGATACTTTTAATAAGGGCATCCTGGTGTGTTATCTTCAGATAGACTATTAACAAATTAACAAGCTAATACTAATAAACTTTTACCTTTTTGTGATTCTTCCCAGCAGCATGCGAAATAAACGGATCCAGGGAAGACAGTTCCGTGTTGCAGGGCTGAGGGTGACAAGTCAAATATATCCTTTATAAAACTTTGTTCACTACTTCAGGTTAGTGGCGTGCAATAATTCAAGAAGAAGTCTTCAGGCACCAACGTAATTTAAAGGAAATAGTTAGCAACAATAATACATTGGTGATTTAAAATAAAGACACCTGAGCATTGGATGCTTTCCAGAGCATGAATAAAGGATCTTTACCGACATGACTTAATCAACAATTTTCGCATCAGTACTCGAATTATTTTATTGTCAAATGTTTAAATTGTTGCAAATCTAAAAATACCATTTCTGAATAACACCATTTAGTGGCAGTGCTATATACAATAAAGAGGTTGAAGTAGCACACTTTCCTAACATCTCAACAATGATGCCCCACACACACATTTCGGATAATCTGCAAGGCTAATCCTGCAGAACATTTACACACATGTTATGGCAGTGTAAAAAAAACATGCACGGCACAACAAAATCGGCAAAAAGGATTTGAGTAATTAGACAGAATATAGCTACTGTATTTTTAAAGTTATTTTTAAAATAAATTCATTTATTACTGAGCACTTGGGTTCTTTCAGTCTTCGAAGAAGATCTGCCATCAAGATGGCCAAGTGAATTATTTTAGCATTTCATAAAAGTTGTGTATAATTTAGCAGTGATAGGTTTTAGAGTTAAGTGAAATAAACATACGTGACAGAATATAACCAGCCTGCAGCTGTTCTGACAGTCCTTGTACTCCACCGTGAACTTGTTGCCAGGAGTGCAGTTGTGCAGAACATCTGTGGTCAATACAAGCATAAAAGCTATGCCCTTGCTGAGTTTTCCAACTGTAACTTTTTTAGCATTAAGCTCAATAAAAAAGAACTAGTAAAAATATCACTACAATACAGATTTTATTGAAAAAGACATTACCTGAATTTTTGTATCACTTAGTTTTAAAGATGACAGCGGACAACTGAAAGACCCCATTGTCAATACATTTGGTTAGTCAATTAATAGGAATGCTTTCATAAATCCCAAGTAATGCAAAAAGCTATGCTATTATACAAGACTAATAAAGTTTGAATTAACCTGTGCAGATGCTGAATTGTTAAAATTAGCTCACCGAGTGCAGCCTGCAGCACCTCTTTGTTGGCAGACAGGTCATAGGTCCAGAAGTCCCTTGAGCGACACTGGACATTTTGAACCTCCTTGGCCTCTTCCTGCAAATATATTTTTAATTTTAGTTGTGAGCAGGAAAAAGGCAGGATCCTGCCTGTTACAGGCAGGATCCTGCCTGTTACAGGCAGGATCACCAAAAAGATTTTGCCTCCTTACCACAAGCCTCAAAAATTTTGAAATTTTGTCACTAATTTATTAATGCCTTATTCAAGAAATAAATGGGAACATGCATATATATTTTACTAAAAATTTCTATTTGTTTGACCTCCACTTCATATTGTTATTAAGCAGCAAAAAAATATTTTTTGCAGTAGGTAATTGTTTTTTCATTGTTTTTTTTTCAGTAGAGAGATGAATAATAGAAGACAAAAATTTATGTAAACTGAATAAATAAACATAATTCAGAAAGGACTTTTTATGCAATAAACAATAATTGTTTTGGTAATTGTATTGGAACATGCTTGAATATCCATATAGGTACAGTAAAATGGGGTAACTTAGACCGGCGGGGTAACTTAGACCACTTTTCGTTTTTTTTTTACAAAAACTCCCACAACTCAAAAACTATTTGACATAGAAAAATTTTGTCAATGGGCATTAAAGGCCTAATACTTAGAACTCTTCTAGTTACATATGCAAATGACAAATTTTAGGAAAGTGTCATAGTTTGCAAATGGGGGGCACTGCCCCCAAATGGGGTAACTTAGACCACCTAATGTCAGCCCTGACGGGGTAACATAGACCGGCTTGGAAGTTAACATAAAATTACCATATATAACATATTTTATGTTTGACAGCCTATTTATGTTTTTTCTTTACGTTTCAGACTCTACAGAGTCTTATATATGGTAATTTCAACTTAATATCCAAGCCAGTCAATATTACCCCATCAGGGCTGCCATTTGGTAGTCACATTTCCCCCATTATGGGGCAGTGCCCCCCATTTGCAAACTATGACACTTTCCTCAAGTTTGTCATTTGCATATGTAACTAGAAGAGTTCTACTACAATGCACCAAAACCTGGAGTTATTTGGAGTTATTTTACAAAAAAAAAATAATAATTGATTTTACCACCCGGTCTAAGTTACCCCAAGAGCTGGGGTGACAAAGACCATCACTTTTTTTGAAATTACATAAAGACTATGAGACGCAGGAGCCAGCAATTTATGGTGAGTGAAGCTAGAGTATAGACCTGTATTTTGCACTTTTCAATTCAAGTTTAATTTAGCTAGTAAGAAAATGGCATCATTTATAAGAAAAAAAGTTATGGTATATAATGTTTTTTTTTGTCAACCCATTTTCTGGACATGAGCCTCAGATCTAGATTTGCTAGCTCAACCTTACACAACAGGCTGAAAAAAATGAAGAAAAAATTCAAGAGAAAGACGGAACATGGAATCAATGAAGGAATTCCTTTTACAGATACGGTACTCAAGAATAGGAGCATTACTAAAGTAATTCAATTATGAACCTTTCACCAAGAGATTCATTTTTGGAAAGGTGGAATCTCTCCACTAAATGAGAGCATTTATGAAGTAACAGAGTGTAGCATTCAATTTTATTCAAAGTCATTATATTTTTCAAAAATTGCAGCACATATGGCACTATATATAAATTGGAGGGTTTGAGAAATGCAATTAGTAGATTGACAATTACCTATACAAAAATTGTTAAATGTAAGAAATGAAATTGGCACTTCTTGATTTGGAAGGTAGATATAGCAGTTGTGCAGGCAATAACACACATTCCTTGTTATATACCATCAAATGGGGTAATTAGGGACAGGCGGGGTAAATCAGGACGGGCATACCACATTTCAAAGAAATGAATATTGTAGCAGCTAAACTAATGAAAATATTGCTAAACTAAAAATGGTAGTGTAAACTTCTCAACATTTTTACTATCTATTATGTATAAAGCTAGTTAAGAAATCATACATTTCCTATCTCTAAAAAATCAGTGAAAAAAAGTGTGAGAAGTTTGATTCTGGAAATGGACCTCTACTAAAGTCTGGAGCAAAAAAAAAAATTCACCGTATTAAAAAATTTTACTTACATAAAAGTTGCACACAGGTGGTGGCTTGAAAATACAATTGACTGAATTTGCCTAACTCATTAAAAAAATGGCAGCCATTTCTGTGTGATGGGGTAATAAGGGACACCCTTAAAAACACATTTACAGTTTAATGTCAGTTAGCAAAGTCTCCAGGTAACAGAAAAATTTATTAACAAAGAATTTTGATTACAATTACCTCCCTCAGCAAAAAAATTTCACTTATCAAAAAATTAATGCGTCACCAGTCATCACAAAATTGTTCACAGAATGTCATATATTGAATTGTGCACTGGGCATCATAGAATGAAAAGTAATTAAACTAAACTAGGATTTATTTCTCCAAAACATATAATGGTTTTCCAAAACATTCCTTTCTGTTTCAGGCATCTTTTTACGGTCATCTTTTTTAGTAAATTCACCTAACCCAATTAAAATGGTACGAAATTACAAGCCATCCTGTAAGCTTACAGATACAGAAGAAATGCTATACAGCTGCTGATATTAAGCTTGCAGTGGACAAGGTCATTGTCAATGCTCAATGGCATGTTTATGGATTCAGTAATATCACATCAATAATATGGTAATGAATGAATATGGTGATATATCATAGAGGATGAACAAGTAAACAACACAGATGTCATTTATTCTACATCTACATCATCTACAATGAAAGAGGAGGACTTCAGAGTATGATGGAGGACTTCAGAGTTTTTTCCATACGATAGCCCTCGCAAAGACCTTTAAAATGAGCCCAAACTCATTTATGAAATGTTTCATGGTAGAAGTTATTAACAAAAAATGCTCAAAACTGTCCCTTTTTACCCCATTTGATGGTAGTACTTACATGATTGTATTAATGAATTTATTGGATTTTAAAGCTCCCATGTTGCATAGCTGAAGGTAGCAAAAGAAAATTACAGCTCTGTCAGTATAATTTTGATGCAATAGCCAATAACTAAATAATTTCATGAATAATTTGACTCGTCATCTTTTCTCAGCAGAAGGAGAGCTTAAAGAAAATTAGACTAACTGGCAGTCATGTTGATTATAAAGTCATGTTGATTATAAAGAACAAATTTGCCAATGTTTATGGGAAACATTATTAGAATTTGAAGACAATACTTATTAGTGATAATTCAGATTTATTATGCTGAATAAAACATGTGACCTTATTGTTTATACAAAGGCTATTTTTGCTAATTTTGAAAACCAATTTATTCAAATCCTAGTAATAAACTTGAAAAAAAATTAATAGCAAATTTTCATGTTTAAGAAAGTAAAGAGTATTCCAAATAATTGACCTAAGGAAATGGATTATATTTCTGATTGACATGAAGTATATATTGGTTAATTAGAAGCACATATATTTAGCATGCAGAATGAAATTAATAGGCTTCAGAGCATAGGTCAACACTGTGATAATGAGCTTACCTCCGTCATCATGATCATTCCATTTTCTCGCCTATATGAATTTGACATTTTCCAAGCAAAGATTCTGCTGAATCTAGAGACAAAGTTATTCTATTAATTGCTAAACAAAACAGTTGAAAGTAATATTTATCTCACATCTCCATGGTGGCATTCCATAGTATAAATAAAAGAACATGAGCTTTTGGGAAATTGGAGCGCTCTGTCATAATTGGAGCGTCAACGTCACTACACCTTCCCCCACGAATTCTACTCCACAACTGCGGGCGGGCTGCGTGCTGCAGCTGGTCGCCGCTACCGTGCGGTATGCGGCTACGCCTGGTATGGTAAGTCAAAAGAATAGTAGCGCTCCAACCTTTCTTAAACGCCTACTGGTTATCCAAACCAAAAAATAAGCAATGGAATTCCTATGGACTTAATTCATAAGAAATGGTCATGAACTGGATCAATTGCAGTAATAAAAAATAACCATTAAAACTTATTACCATTGCTAGTATCACTCTGCTCATATGCACATGTTAAATCAATTACAGGAGATCCGAAAAAGCAAGTAATAATTAACAGAAAGAAACTCCATAAGAGTGCCTTTGGCAACCATGCAATATGCGCTACAAACTATCTGCAGCTGGCAGCGAGCGCTTCGATCCCAATGACAGACGGACGAACAGACGGACGGACGAACAGACAGACGGACAAAGTCTAATATTAGAGAGCGTATTTTCTCGTCGACAAAAACATGAAGTCACGGACTGACAGACAGACGGACGGACAGACAGACAGACGGACGGTGACGATTTAGACTGACCTGATGGACAGGCCATCACTCCGGTGTAGACTGACCTGATGGACAGGCCATCACTTCGATGTAGACTGACCTGATGGACAGGCCATCACTTCGATGTAGACT